CTTCTCGCCATCGATATTCCCTCCTATGTTATTCTATTCCTTTCTTCACATGGCATTTCCAAGTATGGCCGCGATTCAGGTAGTATTGTTGAGACGATATCACCTTGGCATCCTTTTAGTGAAAGAGTTTTGGCTCCTTGTTGTGCATAGTGGCTGAAGATTGTCAAAGCCGGCATTGATACACGTTTTTTAGTCATTAACGTTCGATTCCTATTGTTAGTTGTTCAGAGCAGTCGTGATGACGAGTGTCCCAACTTCTCCAATTCTTCTTCTCATCAGTCCAATGAAATGGTACTTAATTTTCTTACTATTTAGTCTGCGTCAACATGAGGGGCTTACGAAAGGATTCTGGTGCTGTGCTTCATAAATACAAATCTTTACTGTACTTGTTCCAAATTTAAACAACCTAGAGTGGCCATGAGACTTCACCAGCTTATTTTATCCCATACAAAGCTTCAACATAGCGGTAACCTTCTCGAAGATAGGAGAATGATTTTTACTTTTCCCTTGATTATTTCTCGTGGTGAGCCTGGAAGCTCTAGCGTGTGGGATAGAGTTGTTCACAAGTGTTTTCCATGTGTTTTCCAGAGTAGGAAGGAAATTTGTGGTGACTTGTTTGTTGTCGAGGTGACCCCTGAGCTCGTCCCGACCTCTGAGGGATGGAAGGCTTAGTGGGCCATAGGCGCAGGGATTGATTTCACGTGTGTGTTGCAGGGCGTCTCTGACCACTGCGGCACACGCGCCCTTTACAGAATTAAGAGAAAAATAACAATGAAAAATTGTTGATATTAGTGTCGAAGAAGCATACCTGACTGTTCGATGACAAATTGTCGCGACGTCGTTTGCATTGTGGAGCGGACGTTGACCTCAATTTGAGGGATTGAGGGTTGAGGTATGAACGTTTAGTGAACAGCCTAGGAAGATAAAACATCAAAAGTCTACGGACCGTTCTTACCTTCACGTTGGTGACAGACTCTATGCCCTGAAAAGAAACGGTAACTGGACAAACAGGTGCATCTTTTTTCGCGTTGTGTTCTATCTGTAACGGAAGTAAACAGCGAAAACAGAAAACAAGAACGCGACTGAAAACATGGAAACTTAAGAGTTCGGTAGGTAGCGTTCAACAACCTCAGTTAGAATATGGACTTCGATATTCCTTTCGTTCACAGGTTAATTCAGGAAAGGTCAACAGAAGAGGATTTGTGTGATAGTTGATGAGCCCGGGTTTGTACCATCTCTTCCACAATGGCTTATTATCAACTTACTGACGGCTATTTCACTTCTTTCCATTGGTTTTTCTTTACCTACTCATTTTATTCGTTTGCATCCTATGACTTTAAACGCAAAAGCAAAGAGGACAAACCGTTGCTTTCTCTAACTCGCCAATGAAGCAATTCATGACAAAGGCATTCTTCTTTTCGTGATCTAAATTCGTATGTACATCTTACACAGTGACAAAATAAGTAGAAAGAAAATTTACGAAAATAACAACCCTACCGACTTGACCACCATCCTTGATGGACGCCTCGATCTCACGCATCTCTTGAATTTTTGCCTTGAAGTCGATGAAGCGATTGTCCACGGGGACCTGAAACGATCCGTACACCCGACGAAAAAGACTGGTGCCTGATCACTGCTTGCCTTGTACAAATTAGGTTCAGTACCAAGATATCCTATTGAAACTCTGCCTTCGGTAGAGAGCATAGAAAGTACGCTTTGATATGTTGAACTGAAATCACACAGTACATAAGGAGGCCGTTTCTCCTTAATGGAACTTGTCTTGTTATCTTTCTTTCATTTCGACTTTTAAATTGGTTAACCAGGTAGTTAACACAGAAGACCCACTTGTAATTGCTGAGTTTAAGCGCTACCACTGTGTCTTCAGTTTGGCAATTCCACATCAACTTGTTGTCAGCGAATACCAGTAAAGCATTGGCACTTGTGGTTACACAGAATCGAATGGACGTTGATTCCCCTACAAACTAGAGCTAGAAAGACTAGAAAATGCCGTATTCACTACAATTCCACCGCCACTGCTAAGTGACAATGATAAAATCCCAAACTAATAAAGTACTAAATCAGGGCAGAAGCTTAGAACACTGACTGTTTCTGTTGCTTAATACTTACGCGACAATGTGACCTCTAGCAGGAACCACAAAGGATAAATGGAGAGAAAAGCATTCGGCACTAGTCAATCCCTGATGGATGCGCTGTGCATCACTTAACCAAGCATCATAGTGCTCATTAAATGCGTATTCGACCTATACCGTGAATTTGCTATGGCTTGCCAATTGGTAGAACCAGAAGTGATGTAAGAGGTTAAAAGCAAAACCAATGTTCGATCCACTGTATATTTTAGGGCATTTCTATTTCGACTAACAAAGTTTGTTCTGAGCAGGAATATTTCCCTTTAATGATACAGCTTGAAATTGTGCAATAATTCGCGAGCGACCCGATATAGTGCCAATATTTCCGGCTAAGCATTTATCTCAAAAGTGGTTTGAACTTTTAAAGCTTATAATCATTATCTAAATTAATGCTATACGTATGAAAACTTGAGTGGATTTGAAAACACAAAGAGCTACGTTGGCGTAAACAACTTTTCTATTTCAGTGACTGATGGTGACTTAATGAATGAGGAAATCTTGTAAGAAGGATTGCCTATAAATCCCAAAACTGGAAAGTAAATAAAAAATCGAGGTCTGAGTGGAAAAGGAAAGAAAAATAAGTGAGCGAAATGAGATAAAGTGAGAAAAGGCAATAATGATTAGACGCACTTCCCGCATTGTAGACCATGAGTGATGTGCCAACCGTTTCAAGTCGAATCTGCCATCTGACGCTACCACCTGTAGAGAAGCAGAAGATGGCGTAGCGACAGAGACAAATGATAGATGCCTGGACGGAAGCTGAGTCCTCTATCGCCATATCGATGCATGTGTCACCCAGATGAAATGACCAGTCGAACTAAAAGTTGCATATCGTCGACTGCTCTCTAGACCTTTCATTATTTTTGACTTTTCAATTTTTCTCAGTTTTCCTTTACTTGATGCAATGTATAAAAATAGACCCTTTCAATGAAATATAAGCATCATGTCGTAATCATACTGATCGATTCATCTTAAAGAACCATAGGAGGGATAAAATCACCGTGAAAAGATGAAGAGCGCGCAGTAGACTTTGGCTTCAGGTAAACGACTCAGTCACTGAGAATGTGGAGTTGATTCCACTTAAAGGGTTCGTATGTAAGCCTTGTAACAGGACGATGCACATTCGTTGATCTCTTTCGGTGCTATCATCAATGGAAATGGTCGCGTTTATATCTGTCTACGTCCACTGGAATTGAAACAAATACGAGAAGGTACCAAAAGAACGCTATCAATATATGTGGCCGCAAATGTATTTCCCTTTTTTGCATAGTCTCCCACAGGCTTCTATATCAAATGTTATAGTAGCGCGGCCTCATTCAGGAGTAGGATGCCCATTTATTTTAACCGATACCCACATATTAGCTTGTCAAACTCTCAACGTGGACGCTGAATATACTCACGGTTCGTTTGCATGTTTTTCTCAGAATAGAATGCGTATGGAAATTTATGTGGTACGTTTTGTGTGCTGAGGTTACAAAAGTGTTTGGCTGAGCAGATTGCATGTCAACTTAACCTTTCTAGGCTTTAAAAAAGGCGAAACCGCCGAAACGTGTATTAACAAATGCCGGAATAACAGCCTCATCTTTGCTCGCCAAGAAAAACAGTGATTTATCAGTCTACATATACGAAAACATATTCATGGTATGCATGAACATATCTACCTAAGTACAGCATGCATACGTTAGTGGGAAACAATGGAAGCAGGGAATCGATCGTCAGGATCCACTTTCGTCTCAGGAACCCACAAGACAACTTTTACTTTGCGTTTAACCCCTTATAAGACGTCCCGGATCAGACACGACTAATCGACTGGAGATCTCTCAGCGAGGGTGATCCGTCGAATCACCCACTAACTAAAGAAATTTCTGAATAGTTTCCTTTCCAGTTGGTATGTAATTTCCTGACACGTAGGCCTATTGTAAGTTAAATTCAGTAATGAGCCACTATTTGTAATAAAACTTTGTAAGACTCATTGTGGACTGTGGAATTTCTATGAATATGGACCCGAAAAACGAAAGAGATGTTCTTAAAAGATGTTTATTAGTCCCTTGATAAATATTTTTCTCATCGCTCATCGCATCTTTTTAAAAATGATCATAAGCACGATTCGCTGTCTTCTTGATAAGTACAAACGAGACTGCTAAACTACTCTCCATTGACAAAAGCTGACATTTCGACCAATTTCGCCTTCTTGAGAGCTGATAAGGTCAAGCTAACCTCAACATAGTAAGCCAAATACCTTCATAAGCTCAATAGAAAAACCACAATACTTAGTGATTTTGTTCGTATTTTTGAGCAAACGCGAGGTGTTATTGTTCTTTGTTCACGATTAAGCTGACGTTTCGGCGAATTTCGCCTTCTTCAGAGCCTGGAAAGGTCAAGTTGATAGCAACTCACTCGGCCAGACGCCTCCATAACCAAACAAAGAAACCCCAAACCAAGATTTCAATCACTTTGAACACAGCTTTGCACACTCACCGCTTTCTATGAGGTTTCCACTAAGTATGTCACGTAGAGACCAACCGCACAGAAATCACGTGGAAGTATAATGTGCCCCTCACATCAGAGAAGCAGTTTTATATACTGCCCTATATCACGCGTGATAATGAGGCATTCTTCCCTGCGGTTCATTTTCGGATTTCTGGAATTAATCCAGAGTGCCTCGAGAGTTTTTCGCGCCTGTGATATAAGTACAGCTATAAAACGCTGCTTAAG